ATAGGAAGCTAGGTAAAACGACGATGTCGGTATTTCGTGAGTCGGGAACAGTTTTGTTCTTTGGTAAACAGTCCACTGAATTTCCGATTAATTTCGCTTCATGTGTGAATTTTGTTTATGCATCGATGGGTTTCAATATATTTAAACATAATGTTTGTTACATTTTGTGTAAAGCCGCTGAAGGGGGAACGCTTCAGTACCTTCTTAAATAATGTCTTTATACCTCTATAGTCTAAGGGATAAGTAGAAGAAAACATATTAGTTACATAAGTTGGTACCCACTTTTCTCCTAGTAGAAGTCTACCTCAGGATACAGAACAAAAGTCTACCTAGGTGACACTTTGTACTTTACAAGCTTTAGTTATCCAAAAAAAATACTGTAGTTTCTTACTAGTTAAATTCAATACTTTTATCCAAATTTCAAAAACGATTCCTTCCTATGACATTTGCATGAAACTGCGTATTATGAGGTCTTAGTATTTATGCGTCAAATAGCTTAATTATTTCTTTAAAATTTGCAAAAATTTAGTGTATCGACAGATTGATAAATAAAACTATAGTTATTTTATTGTTTTGAAACGTTGAATTAATTTATTTTTAAGTTAGTAAACTAAAAAAAAAAATACTCGGGTTACTAAAGGCTTGATAAATCATCAACACATTTTTCCTTACAATACTTTGTAAAATATATTTATTCTCCATTTCAACCAGGAAAAATACAAAACAGTCACGAATTACACTATTTAATTACACTTAATAATTATAATTTGGTTCAGGCGGGTGTGGGGGGAATGGGGGATGTCCAAATGGGGGAGGACCACGTGGTGGGAATTGAGGTCTGAACGAAGGGGGAGGAGGTCTCCATGGTGGCGGTGGCCTTGATCCAGGTGGGGGTGGGGGTCCGAATCCTGGAGGTCCGAATGGGGGAGGGGGGAAGTGGTGGAATGGCGGAGGAGGTGGTGGTGGTCCAGGAGGGGGCGGGGGTCCTGGTGGTGGCATGGATGACGGGGGTGGCGGCGGCGCGGACATTGGAAGTGGTGGCGGTGGTCTCGCGTTCATTGGAGGTCCCTGCGGTGGCATTGGTGATGGTGCTGGCGGCGGCGGCGGCGCCATTAGGACTGGGCCCAACATCGTTGGCGGGGCGTCCGCGAACAGCTGATGAGGACGGTCTGCGTGTGACAGTGGGTTTTGGGCTGCAAGTAACCTGTAAATATAGGTTGGTTAGCCAAAAGTCTCACCACCATACATAAGTACCACCTAAGCTGTACAATTGTAATCTGTACTGCATTTTCAAAGTATGTAATGAAACTATATATGAAAAGAGTACATTCTTTAAATAAATAGTCTTATTGTTGAATTTTTTAGGTTAAAAATAAATACATATATTTCCCCACACTAGGATTTTCTACTGTGTCGTGGGTGCGTTTACAAACATACAATTTTACATACACATGACACATAGACCCGGAACAACAATTTGTGGATCACCCGTAACACATCATCAGAGTTGTTCCGTGCGACAATCGCACCCGCGACACGTTGCGCGGGAGCCAGTTGCCCAGCCACCGAGCCAGCCGTGCAGTCAATTATGCATACACATTTAATAAACAATAATAAATTGAATTTTACCTCTCGGCTGCAGATCCGTGCCTTTCTCCCTTGACATCCTTCTTGAAAGCATATGACACAGATATAGGTCTATTACAAAGGTACTGATTATTCATCGCTTCAATTGCAGCATCTGAAGCTTCAAATGACGCGAAGTTTATGAACGCAAATGCTTTTGAATTACCTGTCTCTGGATCTCTCATGACCTGTAAGGGAATTATGTCGATTAAATATATTTGAAAAGACAAATCTGGTCAAATCTTCTGATTGTCATGTTGAATGCTATGGAAGACAACATGTGAGCCCTACTAGGCAGTTGATGGCTTAATGAGCAAACCAGGAGTCACCCTTATCCAGGTATATTTTAAGTTGGTTGTAATGAGAAATAAATAAAGGTGCATATTTCAGAAAAGCTGGGGTTTGAGTTTTAAAAAAATCTCAAGATATAGGTAAACTATCCATTAATTGAACAAAAATTTTGGAACAATCTATTTTATTACTTATCTATGTCTAAGAGCTATGCTATATAAAATTCCTATTGCTCAATCTCCTATGACAAATTGGATTTTTTCCTTTGAAGCATACAACAAAAACTACTAACAACTAACAAGAACTATCTCTTATATTTAGGTCTACCAAATTATTACCCATTACAAATTGATTGTAATTTTTAGACATTTAGTAGTAAACATGACTTTGACAGTCATGTTTTTAATTTCAATTTGACTAACATATAGGAGTTTGAAAAGGAAATAATAAAAAACATATATGGCTGAATTAAGAACCTCCCTCCTTTTCGGAAGTCAGTAAATAATCAGTCTATTAATTAATGAGTCCTTTTAGTAAAGGACTAGGACAGAATGACAGACTGACCCACTAAGTAAAATTTTTTGTTTTTTCTATGTTTGACATTCAAAAGTGCTTGTTCTGGTCTATTTGAAATAAATAACTTTGACTTTGAGTAATGATATTTAGTTATTCCATAGTGGAGATTCCTATGGGTAAGAACAAGTATAAACAATTTCACTATACTGAATGACTAGCTACTCTCGCACAGTTTCACCCGCTGGTCGGCTCCATTTAATTGTAGCGTGATGTTTCATAGCCTATAGCACTCAGGAACATTGTAGCTATATATCAGTGAAAGAATTTTGGCAATCCTACCAGCAGTTTCAAAGATTACCCCTACATACAAACTTAGAAATTTTACTTCTTTGTAATATTAGTATAGATAAAAACTTACCTTAGGAGTTTGTAAAATAACTCCAAACGCAGAGAATGTATCATAGAGAAGTTTCTCATCAACTTCAGGATCTAGGTTTCCTATGAACACATTAGCACCAACATCCAAGTTCTTCTGATGGGCTGATGCTTTATTCACTCTTACTGGTTTACCATATAGCTTTATCATATTCATCACCTGGAATATTAATGAGAAATGATTAACCAATTTGGTAGTACCTAGTTATAGGGCTAATTTGAGACACATTAGAAGAACAATAGATGCACACTCATATTATGATGAATTAATAGTAATGTTAAAAAAGATTTTAATAAATTCAGTTAAATTACTGTTATGGACAGTCTATTACGAAGCGAGTGAGAGAAGACATTAGTGTTGAAAAAATTAAAATGAATTTGACCTAAGCCAGTACAAGTGTTTTTTTTTATGTAAACAATTGGCAAACGAGCAGACGGATTACCTGATGGTAAGCAATCAGCGCCGCCCATGGACACTCGCAACGTAGTAGTTACGATTGCGTTGCCGGCCTTTTAGGGATTAGGGATTTAGGGATTGAGGAGGGATTGGGGGAGGGGAAGGATTGGGCCTCCGGTAACCTAACTCACACGGCGAAACACAACGCTGTGGTTATTTCAAGCCGGTTTTCTGTATCGCCGTGGTATCACTCCAGTTGAGCCGACCCATTTGTGCCAAAGCATGGCTCTCCCACACTTACACTTCTTGATTGTAATAAGTTTATTGTTTTATCATTGTTACTGCTGTAGTAAGAGACAAAATTCAATTATTTACAAAATATTTACCTTTATTGCATAATCTGCATCTTCCTCGCCCATAAACTCAACAAATCCATATCCCTGATGAGTTTGTGTAACTCTGTCTTTTGGCATGTGGACATTCACTGTAAAATAAAAAAAAATATTTAGACACTACTTTCTTACTATTCTGCCAAGAGCTGCCTGAATAACATTATAAAGAATGCTGGTTTTAATTTTGAAATAAGAAATAATAATGTAACCGCTTGTTGCAGAAATATATAAAATTTTGTTTTTATGATCTAAATTCAATATGCATTGTGTGTGAGTGTGAGTGCATTTACAAACATTAAATTAAGTACACAAAAATCTATGGATCATACAAAGTAGGCTTCCGAGCAGGAATCGAACCTGCGACACGCTGCGTAGCAGCCAGTTGCCTAGCTGCTACGCCAACCGTGCAGTCATCAGTCTAGTTTGTAAATATTCAAATAATACATACCCACGGGTCCGGCTTGTACAAAAAGTTCCCATAGCAAACTTTCAGTAACTCTGTCGTCAAGACCGCCAACGTATATTGTGGCATCTGTAAAATAACAATAACACGACCTATAATACTTAAACAGCAGTGTCCTGTTAAGTAAAATAAACAATTATCTTGTATTTTTTTATTAAAAGGAGGAAACATTACAATTAGGGCCCTATAGCCGCGTAAAAGGGGACGTAGACGCGATACTTAACCTCAAAAACTTGTATTTGGTATTGATTGTAAGTAAACAATTGGAAATGATTTAATATGTAAATTAGACAGTAAAATTGTGAATAAAATTGGTTATTACGCTAGTTATGATTAGAAATTGTATAAATAAATACCTTGATTTCGTTCGGCGATTGGTCCCGCTGCCATTTTTATTGACAAGCGTCACGTCAAACGTCAATCATGACAAAAGAATGACATTCAAAATATCACAGACTAAAGAAAAGAGGTACTCGAATTCTCAACGTCATCAATTAATTTCTCTTAATCGATGTTCACTTTTATTTGTCAAATAGAATTTATAAATGAAATAATCTCAATATTATTTGAATTTATATCATTTGATATATATCAATTCTATATATAACAATTTCAAAAATGTTGGGTTGTTATATTGTTTTTAACAGAGTTTTATTAACTACATAAATAAACTAAATTTAAGCGGTAATCTATAAAATTCATACATATATTTTAAAGTTATTTGGCTATATTTTGATTTTCGTATTACTAAAAGTTATCAGCTTCCAGTCAAATCCATAAATCTAATTTCCTTGTTTAAATAAGTTAATTTGGAAAACCTAACCAGAATATTAACACAATAACAGAGTTGTGTTTACTTTACCTGTTTAGTCTATGGTTATGTTTGTGTTGTTTTTGTCAGCTGTCAATAAAAATAACATTTCGTTTTCTATTCATTCGAGCGCGCATCTTCATTATTATCGTTCGTGTTAATTTTTTTACCGTTAAATTCTGGGTCTGAACAAAGATTCCTTCAAAATGCAAAGCTCGGATATAATATCATCTTTGTTTTGGTTTAAAAATGAAAGCGAAGAAGAAGATAAAGATCACCTAATATTGGAACAGTTTGTACACAATGTTGAAGATTTTAGTTCTCAGTATGGCAGTGAAATCAGTGTTTCATATACTGCATTTAATCTTCGTGGACCGCCCTCTAATTTCCCTGACTACGGCGACTATCCCCAAGCCTTCGTTATGGTAAAAGTAATAGCTACTGTATTACATGTGGTATTTTTTTTCATATTTTTCTTAGTTTCAGCTTTACGTACTTACGTATCTATGAATACGTTTAATAAGCTTCATTGTTTTGCCGCGTAATGTTCTCCCTTATTTTTCATTAAAAAAGGCCAGGGCTATTTTACGTTTTATTCAAATGAAAAAAAAACATTTTTATTAATTTTAAACTTTACTGTGTAAACCTTATAACTTATTTATTATCAAATATTTATCATTAAACTTAGTTATTACGGTAAAGTTCTTTGGTGTTTTGGTATAAAGTGGTATTTTTTTATTTTTTCTTCTCAGTCTGGGGATGAATAAATTTATTTATATACTTACACAAAAAAAATTTACTGTGTAATTTGCACCATGTCTCCCAAGAAGAGGCCAACATAAACACACAGTTTGTATCACGGTTATCAAAAGTGTGATAAAATACCATGTGACTATTATTTGCTTACACTATTGAATGATAATCACTAAATTATCCATTAAAATATTAATCACTTAAAATTGCTAGTTACTTACTTACTTATATTTAAGTAATGAGATTTCAAGTTAAATAAAATAACTCTTTAGTAGTATGTGCTCTCCTAATGGCTCCATGACTTAAATGCATTGTTATTTTTTTTGTTAATTTTGCACCAGTCACAGGTACCTGACTGTTAGTGGCCTGTCTACCTCTCAGGATAATATTGTTCAGTTGGTGCTCTCTATTTTCATAGTTTATTAGTCATTTATATATTTACAATGCTACAGTGCAGGAGAAGAACTATTAGACTGGTAAATATTATAGTGCTTAATTTGGTATTAATATATTTTTTTAATTAAGTAGGAATTTTCTGTTTGTAATATTATAAAGTTAATGAAGGGTTATTGTTTACTGTGTTTTTGTGCATAGTGTGTTTATAAATACATTCTAAATTTAAATACCATTTGTTTTGTTATTGTCCTTAAAATTTGTAATTTGTAAGTGGTGAATTTATTCTAAAATTTAATACAATTACTATATGCCTGTGTTTAAAATTAAAAATATAAATTCATTAATAAAAAAAATACCATGCCCATAAAAAACTTTGTAATTTTTTATCTTACACTTATAAAATAAGATAAAGACAGTTCTGCATACTTCCTGATGCAAATAAAAATCAAGGGCATTCTATTAATAAAGCAATTTATTCAAACTAACCATTTTCTTTCACATGTGAAGGGAGAACATGATTGTGTTATTATAGGTAAACAAAATAGCAATACACTAAATCAAGGCCTTAATAACTTTTAAAGCCTTGAAATTAAAAAGTCACTGGCCATTTTATTGTGTTTTTTTTCTCATTTTATTATTCCTTTTTTAATTTAAACCATTCTGTTACACAAAGAAAAAATAAATCAACTTTCAAATAATTATAACTGTGATATACAATTTTATTTAGGTATGTAATTGTATTGTGTTTGCTTTCAAACAAAATATTTTTTTATTATTTCAATCACCTATAATGGAGTACTTTTTCTGGTTCAACTTTTGAATCTTGTTTATAATATGAATATTTAAAATAACATTTTAATCTAATTTTAACTTCATGTTTCTTGTTTTTCTAATAGACTATTGATAGTAGTTGAATGTTAATATTAAAATATAAAATGTCTTTTTAGAGGACCTATGGGACCTGGTGGGAAGAAGCTCCATCAGCGCAGAAAGATTATATGCCACAAAATGCTAGCTCAATCACTAGTCAAGATTTTGTTGGTAAGTGTACACAGATTTCTTATTTTATCTACCTATGTTTTTAAATATCACACCATACCTACCCTCTTTGCTACTGTGTTATAAAACACCATAATCCTATCAAAGTTCCAAAAACGGAGTAGTATTTAAAGAAACAATTGTTTTTGAATATATAATAATATACATATTGTATATTATTATATATTATACATATAGGATGTAGACTCAGCAATCATTGTGCCGATAGTCGTGTCTGCCAATGGTCTCATGGCTAAAAGCCTTGATAAACACCTAAGCAGGCTTACGTTAGATGGTTGGGTCAAGAATCTGATCCAGAAAGCTGTACTTCTAGACACGGCGCGCATTGTCCGGAGATTCCTTTCTCTGGAACCCTGACCACCGGTTGCTTGGAACCCTCCCGTAACCGGTGGGATACTGCTTTTTATATTTTTAAGTGCTTTTTTTTTGTTTTATGAAAATATTCAAAAATGTAAAAATCTAGTTTTAAAATAAATAAAAAAATACATTTTGAAACTATACCTAATGATAAATATGAAACACCCCTAGAAAACTGCCTATCCGGAGAGCCATTAATCGGCAAAGGAAGTTGAACCACTCTACGCTGAAGCAGTTATAAAAAATCATAAAATTCATATTAACTGCCTCACAACCAAAGTACCAAAGTTATATTCTAACTTAGCTTCAGTTCTTAATAAAAAATAACTTACTTTTTTACTTTTACACATACATAGGGAAGTGTTGTCTGTTAGTCTAATTATTTTTTCATTAAAACAACTGTTGATAAGATATTACCTTACATACAGATAGACAAAGGGTAAATGCGAAAGTTCATAAGTATGGTAGGATGTTTGTTACTCTTAAACATTAAAACTACTGAACAGTTCTGAATGAAATTTGGCACACATAGTCTAGAATAACATTTAGGCTACATATTACCCTGGTACTGTGGGCAAACCTTCTCGCAATAATTAGTCTTCTCATAAAGTTTCAACGAGATAGATGAGTATTTATTTATTTATTCTAAAGAAAACTTATTAATGATGTAAGTACTTTTATAGGATACTAAATTCGCTAACAAGCTTCCACCTATAAGCGACTATTAAATAACTTACAATCATAGACAGACCCAGTTCACATATAAAATCTATTTAGAAAACATGTCAGTAAGAAAAGAAACGGAAGGTACAAAAGAAAAATTGTCCATATATGCTGCACACTAACATAACATTACACCCAAGCCATTACAAAAAATTAACATTTTGGCAGAAGTGTCCTTTGAAAAAGCAGTCTACCCATTGGAGGTGTCCATCTTCGAGACCTACAACCCTGGAGCGCTGGTTCGCATCTGGGCATTGGGTCCTACAGCCTGGATGTTGTTATGGGAAGGGGAACCGGAGTATGTTGGTGACACTCCAAGGATATTCAGTCCACCGATAAGGCAGCTCAATGTACCGACACGGTGAGTCTTTTGTTTTTTTAATTTATTTATCTGAAGTGATAGTGACAATCGATCATCTTTTATTGTTTTCCTTTTTGTTCCACTATACGTAGGTACTAGGTATAAAAAAATGTCACAATATAAGTTAGTAGGCTAGCCTATAACTTAACACTGATTGGACTGATTTTGCAAATTCTTAAGAAAAAAATATAAGTACGACCTTTTCGTTGTTAATGAGATAGTTTGACACCCGTGAGAAGCTGGGGCGGGCTTCTATAAACTACATGACATTTGTATATCCATACTAGCGGCTTCATTGTAGGTTCTTATAGATCGTATCTACGACCAAAGTAGGTACATTGACTAAAAATTAATGTTACAGGGAAATTAAATGAGATGAACTCTTCAATTGGTATGATTTTGCCATACCATTCTCGCGTTCTGCTCTCTCTTTCTCTTTTCACGCGTCATTCACATAAAATATGTATAATATATCATTAATTTTTTATGTCATTCATTAAACATTTAACAGAGTCATACGTAAATGAGTGGTGTGATTCAGTTTCTCTACGTTTTTTATTAACTAGACATGCATTCACGTAGGGCGCGCTCTGCTTACACATTATAAATATTCCATAAAACGTTGAACTTATAAACACGTGATTTCGTTCCTGCCTTTATGCTAGGCATACAAAAGTAAACAGTTTGAAAGAGAAAGCCTAGAAGAATTTCGCTACAACTTCATATGGTTTTCCCTGAGTAAAATTTTCCACTTTCCGATACCTACTTCGAGAATACGTTCTGGAGTCACGTTTTCGGATGTTATGTTGCCTTTTATTTGTACATTTAGATTTCGACGCTGCACGTGTTACTAGCTCGATTTGAATTCCTTTTGGGCTATCATTTATGTTATGTACATAAAAATATTTCTTGTATTTCAGATATGACGAATATTATAATATTTATAACACTTCTGTTACCTACTAAGTTTTTCAACTTATCGGAAAATTTATGAAATTATAATTGTATTTAAAAAAGGAGACAGGAGTTTTTGAATTTCAATGACGCCACAATCGTATTTTTTTATAGTTCCTTCTGAAAATGTTCAACTAAAAAGAACTTATCCGGACTCCAGACTATATACTCTTATACTTATCTCTAGGTCTAGGTTAATGATAAAACTCTATTTCTATATTCCCAACTTGTTACCTACCTATTTAAAATCCTTTGAATAATGTGTGTTGCACATTTTTTTATATGGTAGGTAATACCATATTAAAAAATGTGCGCGCTAAGTATGAACAATATACTCATGGAATTAGGTTTATTTATTCCAAACATCCCGCCAATGACCTATTTTTTGTCATAAATAATATGTGTCATACTTAAATGGACTTGTGACGAAATTTGACCGTGGCGTCTCCTCGATAAGCGGTTTCCGATCTCGTGTTTCATATCAAATTAACCGGCTTCCTAAATGTCACGTGATGGAATTTTATTGTCTTTTAACTACTGTAAACATGGGACTGGAAGAATTAGTCACAAAATAAATAGCTAAAGATTTTCAATACAATTAAATATGTAGGTATTGAAAAATAATTACGTTTATCAATAATAATTGATTTGATGATGGAGTTTTTCGCAGTTTTTACATATTAGATCTACTTTTTGTGGAACATAACCAGCCAGTTGATAAAAAAGGATAATTTCGTGCAAAATTTATCCGTTTTTGCGATCCTACAAAAAACACTCAGGTTTTACAGTGCAGTAAAACCTGTTTGGATTTTAATGTGTTTAAATTTAAAAATCTGTTTTTATTTTTGGAACAGGATATTGAGATTAGAATTCAACCACAAGCTGCTTCCTTACTACACTGAATTGGATGCGGTGCTCCTACGTGGTAGACAACCAGCGAATTTAGTCAAGCATATGAGAAACAATTTCTCTTATTCTTCGCTCTTTTACAAGAAAACCCAGCCGGTCGTGGAGAAGGGTAAGTTGAAGTTTATTTATTTTTTCTGCAATAACTTGAGACGTATATATAAACGTACGTAATATATATAAACCTACAACCATTTTAAAATGATATTGATTCTGTAAAAGAAGCTTGCTCTGCGCTCACTCAGTCGGCCGTTGCGAATTCTGGTCATTATTATGAGCCCCTGATGTAGCTTGAAACTTATCAAGTCTGTCGAACAGTCACCTGTCCTACAACTTATGTTTCTTAAATTAAATGAAACTTGATTGTAAATGATTTTATTTCATACCATGGAAAATATTTTATTTATTCCAGACTACAATCTATTTTTGTAACAATACTTTTTCATTAAAAAAATATTCATCCTTTCATGTGAAAAACATATCTACTTACAACTTTTGCCTTTATAATTTGGCTATTAAAAAAGTGCACGATCCAACGTTCGCATCATGAACGGAAAAATCCAACCACCCGAAGTCATGCGTGAGTGATGTAATCCGATTTTAGTCCTTACACAACCTCCGTATGACGTCATTAATTACTCTCTTTTCAAGATAAAGACGACGGTAAATCAATTTATAAGTCGGCTCTTGTAATTTGATCCATTTTAGTTGTACGAGTAGCTACATTATTTTGTTTACTTTAAGTTATGTTACTTTGAGTGCGGGCTATTCTTCGCCACAAATGGACCGGCTCGATACCATGGCCTCACAGAAAACTGATGTACTTAAAATAACCTCAACGTTGTGTTTCGACGTGTGTTCCTCCCCCATTCCTCCACAATCACTGAATTTAAAACTCCTTATCCCCATAATGCCGGCAACGCACTTGCAAGTCTGATGTTGCAAGTGTTTGTGGGCGACTGATAATACCTAATATGTCAGGAATCGCAGGTATTGTTCCATCTCACAGTACCTAATTAATATTAAGTTCTCACACATTATTTCTTTTACATTGTCTGGACCTATAAATTGACGGAACTCTGACATTGTTTCGGCATTTATTCTCAGAGTAGTCAGATATGAAATGTCGTCTTCGTTTAGTTTTTTTATATATAATTGTAGAGCGTATAAGTGCCGTTTTGTGGCCTGTTTGCTAAAAATAATTTAATTATTTTATTGTTTAAATCTTGAGTAAACACTTTCTAACTATAACCTAGTTGTGTTGTATTTAATAATTACTATAGTTGTTAGATGATATAAGGTGCAAATTTCAGTGAAACCTAACACTAAACTAAAAGACGTTCCTTAACGACTTGCTAGAATTTCTCATTAATCTAAAAATAGCTTCGATAACACTAGGGCTGCCTACAACACAGTTTTCCGCACGTTTGCATTCACGTTCCAATATCAAGTTTTAAAGTGTTAATGCGAAGACGTAACACTGAAATTGTTAACCATGGTCACGGTTCCACATCGAACTGTCGATTGTCAACTTTATAAACCAAGAAATACGTTTCAATTTCCAACTGATATGGTTCATTTTTCTTTGATCGATGATAAGTTTCTTGTGTTTGTTTGATAGTGAGATTTTCATCTTTATTTCCTAGGGTATATGTTTCAAAATGGGTTTTTATTGTATCGTACCATAGAACAATTATTTCTTTGTACTTATGTACGTAGGCACTATGTCTCGTTCATGTAAACGTGCAGTCTCGAATGACTTCAATGTTGTTACGAAATAATGTTTTTTTTTTCATTTATTTACTGGACTTTGATATTGTGTTTTACTTTTTATCGCATTGCGAGTTGTTTTATTACGGCACTTAAAATAAACCTAACAAACTTTTTCGACTAAAAACTTGTTGAAATCAAATTAAAAAAATGATGATGCTATGCTTTGGTATAACTTTCATGCATACATAAATTGCAATACAAAATCAGTGGAGCGTCAGACGTTTAGGAGACATTTTATACAGTAACAACAAATCATATTTAAAAAAAAATTTACAAATAGAAAAAATTAATTGAATTTTACTACTTGTCACGTTATATTAATCTCAGCTTTGTTTGCGAATGCAAGCGAGATGATGAATAGAAGAATTGTTTTATTTACAAGAAGCATGGTACAGATATATCTCAGAGCTAAATAGTGAACTTCTCACTTCGATTCACGATGTACCGTCTTCCATCTCGTAGCAGGAGAAAGATAAGATCGGTATGGATTTTATTCAATATACTGGCTACTCCCGCACGCTTTCACCCGCTGCTCGGCTCCATTTGATTGTAGCGTGATGTTTTATAGCCTATAGCACTAGGGAACATTGTAGCTATCAATAAGTGAATTTTGGGAATCCGACCAGTATTTCCAAAGATTACCCCCTACATACAAACTTACAAATTTTGCCTCTTTTTAAAATAAGTATAGAAGAGAAACATCTCTTGATCGGAAGAAACCATTGATAGGAGGACAATATTTATCGACTCAAAAAAAGAACCAGAATTTAAAAAACAAAATACAAGCACGTGGCCTACGCTGAACTAAAACAAGTAAATGGATAATTAAATATTATTGTATTGCAAGGGAAAGGAAAATCGACTTTATTTTTTAGCAAACAAGTTTTTTTTTATTGAATCTGTTTAATTATAAATAACAATTATAGTGTGATTTAAACTGGCTTTCCGATTGTTTCAATGTAATAAATGGTATTTTAGATTGATGCCGATAATTTACAAGATCCTTGATATCATAGTCTGTCGTTGAACAAATTACATTGTTTGTTTTTCCATATTTTTTATAGGATCTAGATCCAATAGGTAGGTATCTCGTGCCAAACGCTTAAAACGACTGTATCGTATAAATTATATAGAAAATTATGAAAAAATGGATATTGGATAGAAAATTATAAAAAGGCTGCTTACCTACATGTCGCGAGTTCGATTCCCGCACGGAACAACTCTTTGTGTGATCCACAAATTGTGGTTCTGGGTGTTAGTGTGATGTGTATGTGGTATTATATGTTTGTAAACGTACCCACAACACCAGAAAATCCTAGTGTGGGGCAACGTTTTAAAATACAGACTACTCGACTAGCTTCAAGTCACGCAAGGGGCTTATAATCATGAACGCTAAAATCGACTCGAGCATTGCGCGCAAACATATTGCAAGTTTGCTTCGCAAGTCTTGCAAGGAATAATAAAAGTACTGGATTAGTCATTCACAAACAACCAGCAGCAGTTTTTTTTATTGAAAAAGGTCCGCTTACTTGAAACCAGTAACTTTCCACTAGTTTGGCTTTTCCATAAAAAAAACAATTGTCAATTAAACAACGTCTTTGTTATTAAGGAAATATCCTTAACTATCACGATAAGTACTTATGACTAATCATTGTTTTCTAGGACAGCTTATGAACCGAATAATTGCTTCGAACCTTCATGAGAATATCGTGCCACAGATTGTAGCGCCACGAAATCAGAAGCAAATTGACACCGGACCACCGCTCGGAGACTTCCATCAGTTACCTGTAAGTATTTATTTGATGGCTACATTAATTGTTGTATGAGTTATTAAGACGTTTAATTGTCTTGGTTTAGTATTATGCAGAAGTGAACATAATATATTTAGACACCAATGACAAATGGTGAAGGAAAAATCGTAAGGAAACCTGGACTTTATGATTTCTAATAATAAGGTTGATATTACCAAAGCCTTGTCCGTGTAAGAAGAGGCCTTTGCTCAGCAGTGGGAACTTAAAGGCTGATGATGTGATGTGAACATAGTACATTATAAAGCCCATTTTTCGCTAGTGTGTGTTATGGTCTGGTATGGGCAGTATACTCCATATTGCCAGTAGCAGAATTCCAGGACCCGTGATAAAATAAAACTAGTTACACTGATTAATTATTCGATTAAGAGGCCAAACAATGAGACAGTTTGTTGAGTGAGCATTTCTGTAAAGTTATTTTTTGCTGGCATTATGTATAGTACTTACATTTTCTTTGTAAACTGGATTACTTATTCGGTAGTCGCATCACGCGATGACACTCAACCTAGATCACTTTTACGTCACTCGAAAGAAATGCCAATGAAAACCAAAGAAAGTTTTTTAAGCTCCAGTTTTTCACTTGAGAGGGTTGGCTTAACTGGAGTGATGCCATAGTCACACTAAAAATCGACGTGAAAAATTGTGTTTCGCCGTGTGTGTAAGAATAGATTTAGACCTTAGACCGATTTTTCGTCAGCCAAAAGTATCTGGATGGAGTTTGATCGCCTATAATCACTTGAACAAACGGTCTGGTTGTGATATGATACATCCACTATATAAAATGCACGATTTTATAAAACCAATGTTTAGACGAAAAAGAAAAAAAAATATGAACCACACTAGGACTAACAATACTCGGTATGTGTAAAGAAGTCTACAACGCAAAACTTTGAGAAACAATGTTGCTTGCAAATGTTTCTTTGAAATGTTCTATTAAATTGCTTGCACCTGAATAATTAGCATAATCACTCACCACATTGTTATTATTGGATCTGTTACGTATCGTGAGAAACATCCATTTTATTTTATTTCCTTATTATTGCTTCATTTGAGCAGAACTAATACCGTAATTTGAATCGTATTAGGTACTAGATACCTTTTTTTTTTTTTTTTTTTTTTAATCTATAGTTTTAGGGGCTTTTGTTCTAACACATGTCAACCCCGTTAGGACATTTTAACTTACATCTATCATATTAAAGACTCATAGTCTCACTGATGTGTGAATATCCTAAACAAGGCAATAGCTGCAGAAGAAGTTGGATTTGAGAGAACAGTTGTAAAACTACCCACATCTAACATATTTAACTTAAATTCACGCACCAGTGATTCCCTGTCTCTCGCATATTTTATACAATCAACTAACAAATGTTGAACATCATCAAGGACACCACATACTTCACAATCTGGAGATTCATTTTTTTTCATTAGAAAAATAAATTTATTACAAGGAAAGTGTCCTGCACGTAATCTATTAGCTATAACTATGATATTTCTACATACTTTATAGTCTATAAACCATGGTTTCTGAGGAGGCTGACTTTGTATAGTTTTATACCAGATGCCTTTCTCTTTGCTTCTCTCATCAAAATACTCTCTGAATAAGCTTTGACATTTGATTTTTGCTGCAACAAGATATTCACTATGTAATAATTTTATATTGTACATATTTCCATCTGTAATTGCTAATTTTGCCAACTTGTCAGCCTCCTCGTTACCACTTAGACCAATATGAGATGGAACCCATTGCAGTTTTAGAACCTGGCCATAGTTTTCCATAATTTTTATTTGCTTTAATATTGCATACGCTAGCGATGCACCTCTGAAACCAGAGGCGCAACGAGCTAAATGCTGTAAAGCACTTTTGCTATCAGTAAATATTACTACTTTATCCGTATTCAAAAAGCTAATATTATTAATTGCTTCTAAAACTGCAATGAGCTCCAAGGTCATAATCGATGCATACGAGTTATTAATTTTAAACAAAAGCGAATTTTTGCGGCTTGCATCATAATATGCAGCACCCTGGCCCGTATTGTTTTTAGAACCATCTGTAAATATTTTATGCCAACCGTCGTACTTTTCAATTAATTCTTTTACAACCTTGAAGCGAATAGTTGACGGTTCTAAATTCCTTTTACTTGTGTTGATACAATCTAAATTGCATTTTATAATTTCATCTTCATCTATGTAAGTTGTCCAAATGCTTAATGAAAACATATCTAATGGGTAAGAAGAATAGATGTCGTATGATTTACATTCTTTGTAGACTGTACAGAGTAGTGGTAGCTTTTTTTTCCGCCAATATTGACTTTTTTCCAGTGACGTTAACTCTTCTATCAGATTTGTTGTGACATTATTAGTCCATGACATACATTTGGTACAGTATTTATAGGCGAGATAACGTCTTCGAATATATAAAGGGTGTATAGTTAATTCGGCTTCCATAACATGTATAGGAGTGGTCTTAATATAACCGCCAATAATTCTAAGCGCCTGGTTTTGTATTCTATCCAACTTGAGTAGGTGACATTTTGCACTACAGTCGTAAATAAAAGAACCGTAATCAATCTTACTTCTTATAAGAGTTATGTATAAATTGCGCAGGTGTTTAGGATGCACTCCCCATGAGGGTCCCGTTAAAATTTTTAATAAATTCAAATTTCTTGAAGTTTTTTTAATGGATTCATTTATATGTTTATTCCACAATAATGATTTGTCTAGCCACATGCCTAAATATTTAATCACTTCTACAGCTGGAATATTTTTATCTTTAATACTTAGCCTAATACTTTGTTCTCTTCGTTTCCGACTAAATACGCATAGTTTAGATTTATTAGTTGAGATCTCCAGTCCGATATAATTTAGTTTATCCACTACCGATTCTAATACTCTTTGTAGGATATCCTTACAGTTGTTTAATATTCTATGACTCATGTAGAAAACGAGGTCATCTGCATATTGAGATACCTTGATATCTAATCCTTCGTCAATTAAACATATATCATGAGTTGCCAAATTAAATAATAACGGTGACATAGGGTCCCCCTGGGCTAGGCCCATACCAGTCCACCTAGCTCTGATGATCTCATTAGCAAGTCTGTCCCTAATAGATAAACACCGCGCACTTAGAAATGATGACACGTAATTACAAATACGAAAGCCAAAGTTCAATTCGTCTAATTTTTTAATTAATTTGTCTATAAGTATATTATTATATGCATTTTCTAGATCCAAAAAACAAGCTACCGTAGATATTTTTTTTGTAAATCCAATCTGGATGTGTGTTACTAATCTAGTTAAATTGTCCAAACAAGATTGACCTCTACGGAACCCAGTGGTATTGCGAGATAACAATAAATTCTTTTCTGCGTGCCATTCCATTCTTTTTAACAACATGTTATGGAATATCTTACACAAACACGACATTAATGATATCGGTCTAAGTTTCATATCAGAGCTATTATTGCTGGATGATGCCTTTGGAATTGGAACAATTAATAAATGCCGCCATTGGTCCGGTACTGTGCCCGTCGAAAAGATAGCATTAAATAAATTGAGTAAAAAAACTTTACCTACATCGGGTAGATGATAAATCATAGAATACGTTATCTTATCGCTACCAGGTGCAGTGTCTTTTTTCTTCATACATTTTTTTAGTTCGGACATGGTAAAGGGTAATTCCAATGGTTCATTCTTAGAAGTGATTGTGTGCGGTTTATTACGAGCCATATCAGGTGTAAGACTATTTAATAAGTCTTCACATTTATTTACTGGTACATAAAACGTCGGTTTACGATATTTTTTTTGCCAACGCATATTATTCCACATATCGGATGCCGATTTACATTCATCAATGCTAGAACAAAACATTTTATAATCTTGAGAACGGTTTTGTTTAATTAATAAACTGGCTTCTTCGCTTTTTTTCTCATATTTTATAAGATTATCAGGGGTGGGGTTTTTCCTAAAATTTTTCAAGGCTAATCGCCTTAGCGCCACTGCCTCTGATAAAATAGGTTTCCAGTATTTTTTTGGTTTAAAATTTGTAACCGGTTTATTGCATATTTTAATTTTAGGTATGTTTTTATTGCACGAAATATTAATGTGGGTCTCTAAAAAGTTATACATATCTTGAATATTAGTAATATCGAAATTGCAATTGGAAAAATACGATAGGAGATCCTCACTATACGACTTCCAATCGGCCTTTTTAAAGTTGCGATTTTCAATAAGAGGAAACTGTTGCTCGTAGTTTAAACGCATTTTTAGAAAAAGATGATCACTGCCTAAGTTCTCATTAAAGACTTGCCATTTAAATTTAATTGCTAAATCGGTAGACGTAAAAGTAATATCAGGAGAGCTTCTCTGTACAGCACCACTGACTAATTTAATCCTCGTATAATCTCCAGTGTTCAAATATGTAAAACCATGTTCCAAAGAGGAGTCTAGCAACTGGTTTCCTCTTAGGTCAGTTTTACAGGACCAATTGCTGTGGTGTCCGTTGAAATCACCCGCTATTAACGTTTTCTTAGATGCAACAGCAAATAAGCTATCCCAATCATCTTGTTGAGTCCGAACATTAGGTGGACAGTAAATTGCTATAATATTTTCTAAACCGTCACAATTATAAATCTTAGCATAAACAGCTTCTATACCGGGATTATTTAAGCTAATAGGTTGCGCCTCTGATTGTAACGAATTGTGAATAAAGATTGCTACGCCACCATATGAATCGTTTCTGTCTCGCCTATATACACTGTAGCCACTAATATACAATTCATACTCCGATTCTAACCACGTCTCACTCACTATAGCTATATGTATTTTTTCTTGCATCAATAAAGCCTCAAAGTTTGATATTTTTGGTTTTATACTCTGTGCATTCCATTGGTATATATTAATCGACAATTTGTTATTAGTATTATCCATCGAAAAGATTTATCAATTTCCTCAATATTCCCTGACCACAAAACTTGTAAACAAAGTAAGATTTACATTCTTCATAAAGAATTTTTATCAATGAAAGTATTTTTTCTAAAAGGTTACTTTTGTCACATAGAATTATTTCTTCAAATTTGCGAGTAAGAAGCTGAATTCTCTTCTTCCTTTCAACCTTATCTTTAATCTGTTTTTCAGAGTCATTTTCCCTTTGTTTTTGTTCGCACTCCGTCGCTTCATTATCAATTTCCATAGTTAGAAACTCATAGTCTTTGGTCTGTTTATTTTTCTCTTTACGCGTGTTATTTCCAGTATTTCTGTTGTATAATTTGTCTATTGCTTGGTCTTTATCGTGGTTCACAGGAACAGACTCAATCACAACATCAGCGTAGGTCCGAGTCGGAGTTGTAATAGATTGACCTGGGACGGTAATTTGGTCTACATTTTTAATAGTATCTTTCGTAAACATACTATTTGTGTTTACTACATTTTTGTTACGCATCTCCTTCTCAGAGTTACGAAAAACTTCAAAAGCTTCCTTATACGATATATTTTTTTCGCCCATGATTTGACGAATTTTTTTCTCCCTCAAATATACAATACAGGTCTTGTCTAAAGCCATATGAGGACCTTTACAGTTGGGGCATGAATAAGCTACTGTTTCACAGTTTGTGTGATTTTTACTGCACTTAGGGCATATTATATTTTTACTTGGACAGAATCTTTTAATGTGCCCGAATTTCCAACAGTTAGAACACTGATTAACTGGAAAAGTGTAACGTTCCACAGGAAATCTACACCCGAACGCATACACACATGAGGGGCGCGAGCGACTCTTAAAACATATTCGAACAGTTTCACTTTCGACCCAATTGCCTTCAGAATCCATACGTTTGAGTCTTTTAACTGCTGAAATATCGGATGAACTGCTATAAGCTTCTAAAAGTTCTTTTTCAGACATATCTAAATCGACACCTTTAACGATTCCATAAGAAAATATACGTTCACTGGATAATTGAGCTTGTATTCCAAGTTGTATAAGTTTTTGGCAACATATAAGACTTTCTACTTGTTTTTTGTCTGTGAGCTGTATAAAAATTTTATACGGATTTTTGTACTGAATACCAATTATGTTGGTTATATTTTCATCTCTTAGTATTCTGGCTAAAGCCATTTGTTTAGGTAATATGCTTACAGAAGTTAAACAAACCTCGATCTTTTTTTCAAAAGTACCCTCTTGTTCTAACTTTTCCAAAGATTTGTCTTCGGTCAATGAATCACTTCTTATTAATCTTTTTGGTTTCCTGCCCTTTCTCGTTATCGTGATGAAACCTTCCTCGCTACTTTCTTCACTTATTTCTCTTAGTCTCTTCGCTCCGATTGATTGATCGTTAATATTTTCTACTTCGCTACCCGCCATCCAACACGATTGATGGTTTTCTTGCATGTGCTGCATTTCATACTCAATATTCTTGAGTATTTCAGAGTCACTTTTATCACCACCATCATCACTACTGACTTCCGACATCACTTCCGAAATTGTAGGCTATGAATAACCTTTCAAATCCGAAAACAATAACAAAGCGATATAGTAATGCACGCGCGCGTCACGACGTCTCGCTCGTCACTGCTAGATACCTAAATTCTTAATTGTATTCATAGTTACCTACCTTGAAATTGAATAAAAAAAATCTCTGAACTTATTGAACAACATAAGACAGTCAGTGTTCGAAAATTGATTTAAAAAAAATGTAGATACTATGGAGTTTTTTTTTCTTCTTTGTTATTCTACATAGCAATCCACTCTTCGGAACGATAAAATAGCTTCACTAGAGGAAAGATCGACAAACTGACACTGGTCAACTTATAATATTTAATAACTTTTAACGTTCGACGTGGAGAGCTAAGGGGGAGGCCTTTGTCCAGCAGTGGACGTCTTCCGGCTGATGATGATGATGAACGTTCAAAAGTGCGTATTAGTCTATTGGAATTAAAAGATTTCACTTTAAAAATTGATCATAATCATAGGCTTACTTATTAAATTATTCAACAGATTGCTTAAGCCCATCAATTAAACTGCCTCGCCGATTCTTTTTATTTATGTTCAAGTTATAAATTAATTAAAATTTTAATTTCCTAGTTTTGTTCTTCATGCAATTTCGCAATAAATTATTATTAAATAGCTAGCACTTCCCTTTGTATTCAAGACAAAGATATTTATTAGCATAAGTACCTACCTATCTACCGAAAATAGATGCAAATGTTTTTAATACAACTGCACGTGGCAGTGACGCGTAAATCTATAAGGAAACTTGTCGAGAAAATAGAGATGACATGAGATTTTATTGTGTGTTTCTTGTAGATTTCCTAACGGGAATAAAAAAACCTTCGACTGTATATTTTTATATCGATTTAAAATGTTCGTCACTGTTAGGTAGGTACAAACTGATGGACTAAAAAAATTATACATAACTATATTCATACCCGGGGTTGTTCCTTATATATAACTTAAGTCATTCAATATATGAAAACCAAAATTATTAAGTACTATATTTTGTATTCATCGGTAATTAGGTACTTCCCACCTGATTATCGAATAATATGGAAGGTTACACAATAAAACGAAATCGACCTAAAACAGTGCGTCATCCCGAAACAATAGCTCTATATTTAGTCTAAAACAAACAATGTTTTATGAGACAATGAGACTGTTTTGTCTTCGTCTCCTCTACAATACAATAACAAAGGTTAATTTCAAATAAAAACACAGAATTCTAGACACTATGTCTCTATCCTCAGGTGTTACTTTGGCAATTTATTAGGTACTTGAATAATATTGTAGTGATAGTTTTTATAATAACGCGGATCTTCCCTATGATTTTCTCATGTGTTGTCAGTGTGTACACAAACAGCAATTTACATCACATATCTAGGACGACAATATATAGATAACACAAAGAGTTGACCGTGTGGATTCGGTCCTGCGAAAAATTGCCCTAGTCTCCCCTGTTTTAACCTCTCGGACAATCAAGAAAAGCGGAGGTTTCACGTTCTCCCGATTATGTATTGAGAACAATCGAATCCCTAACCCTAATGGCCAGCAGCAGCGCACTTACGTACAACTCCACTGTTGTTTACCATCGAGTGTTCCGCTGGTCGTTTGCCGCCCTACCACATAAAAAAAAATCCATAACTTTATTACGTAACGCATTCCTTGAGCGTTTTATGACACAAACACATGACAATCAGTTCAAAAAACAATATTTAACATGTACTGAAATACTTTCATACGGAACTTTCACCTTTAGGTTAGGTATATTATGTACGTTTTGTAGATGTAACGATAAAACTTATAGCGTACTAGTACAAAATACGGTTTACTGCTTCAGCCGCCAGGAGTTTAAAAGGTTACGTCCTAGGTCGGGCTATTATGTAAAAACACGTTACATATTATTATCCCTATGAAATTTTTACCAAAGTCATATGGAAAATCTGTAAACAGCTACCAATAAAACAACTTACTGACACCCGTAAGAATAAAAGCCGGGCCACTAGTACCATTTTATTTTGTATGTATCGTTGGCCTGAACTGCTTCACAGTTCGCGTTTAAGTTAATAAGTTGGTATTATATCATCGTTTTTTTTCTTCCTTTCAGGACGAGACCATCCTCTGTGTGATGAAGTATTTAGATATCCAGTCACTTTGCCGATGTGCTCAAGTCAACAGACATTTCAACAGGCTCGCTTCAGACTGCATATTGTACAGGAGCATAGATCTCAGACCATATTGGCATTGCGTACAATCTCAGGTAAGATTCTTACAGTTTACTATTTTATAGAGAAAATGGTCTTGCCCCTTGAAAATATTATCATTTACAATTAATTCTTATAAATATTCATAAGAATAAGATAATTGTTTCATGTGTGAGGACTGATTTTTAAGAAACGTAATATGCATATGTTCTAACGCTGAAGTGAAATCGATTGTAAATTTTATTGCAATCAAAGTGATGCAGCTTAACAGAAAACCGGCGCGAAACAACGTTTGCGTTGTGTGAAAGACGGGAGGCCAAGTCACTATCTTTACTTTTTTCTTTCTTTCTTTTTTGAAAAAAAATTTGCCCTACATTAGAATTTTCTTCTGTGTCGTGGGTGTCGTTACAAACATACAATTTCACATACACATGACACCTAGACCCGGAACAACAATTTGTGGATCACACAAAGAGTTGTTCCGTCAGGAAATCGAACCCGCGACACGTTGCACGGCAGCCAGTTGCCCAGCCACCGCACCAACCGTGCAGTCATTCAACAATACCTTAATCTTTAAATCCTTTGTTTCCAGAAAGCTTAGAACTACTACTACTTGGAATAAAATTTCTCTGGTTATCTCTAGGGCCTATGGGCGACACTAATGGCATGCCATCATTTGCAGCCCTATCCGATACGCGTACCAAAAAATCTTCCTTCGCATAATTTCAACAATATTAGTTGAGTAGATTAATCATGAAGAGATTATCTAATGACTAAATAAATAAACAATACTATCGTATTTATAATATTCGTTGAGATCTTACGTAAATCTACACATAAAGGTTAAGTAACTTGTTTTGAGGTCGGGGACGGTCAAGTTTAAGGATAGATTGCCGGGCGGATTAAATATTATATTTGATGTTATTTACATTTCAAATTGTATCTAATACACAAAACAATAAGGTTTATATGAGCTTGACATTATTTTTCTGTCTATCTAGTATTTGGTAGGTTATTAAGTCGCATGGGTAGTATTTGTAAATAGTAGTCTATATGTTAGTCCAGATTATATTATCATATACTTAATCGATTTATGTGGTAAATTTTATGAAGAGTAGTTCAAAGTAGTAGTAGAGTTACAAAAATGATGTCCATCCATCATAAAACTTTCACATCTATAGTGTCATAGATAGGTTAGGATATACCTACTGTATATTTTTTAATTATTCTATACATTTTGTTCTCACTTACGCTCTTCAAAATTATAATAAGTTAGTATAAACTGCAAGAAAAATGTAAACCAGTTTTACGATGCTTTTGTTCGGCGCGCTTTTTAAGGCTCTACAGTCACTTCGCCGGTCGAATTTTTTTGCCGAAAAGCTTTTTTTTTAAATAAAGTTAAAATCTGTAACTCAATAACTTTTAGCCGTTTTCCTAATAGGTAGGTACATTGTGGACAAATAAAAGGATTTAACGATAGTATTATTTTACACAACCGAAAAATCACGACCTCACAGAAAACGTGTAACGTTTGCGTAGTATTACTCTGTGTAAATGTGGTTAGGACCTTAGGGCTAATTGTAATAAAATTGAAAATTGCATCTTTTCAAATTCCCCTGGACTTTCACTATAGTTAATATAATTTGAAAGCCTATACTTTGACACTTACATTTCATATTGTACTTAAAATACGTAAGTCCTTATTACTCCCTTTTGTTCACGATGTAACAATAAGTTGAGTGTGCCGGTAGCCTTACAACAGACTAGACGGTGCCGCGCCCCGAATTGTTCACAGTCACGTGTATTACTCACGTTTAAATGCATTTATCCTAAAAAAACTTGTATCGTTTTAAATATTTTAATAGTTGATTCACGTAGTAAAGTCATATTGAATAACTTTGCCTTCCAGACATTTTGATTTTGATTGATCGTTTTATTATACCGTAAAATATGATTTTTTTTTTATTTAGATCTGGAATATGTTTCGATGGGTCTAAAATGGAACATTTACAGCAACAATTCGTTTGTGCCTATAGGGCGCCACTGAGTTGTATCTTCATTTCTTTGTTGTATCAACCATTACCGATCTCCTTGCAAAACCGTAAAAGTAGTGATGTGAAATGCATATATTTGTAATGAAGTTTTTCTGTGTAAATTGTGTCGATATTGTATAAAATGCTTTTTTTATGTATTTGCTTTAAGTTCAACAGTTTTTATTTTTATTTTCATATATTTAGGTACAATTTCTTGTTAGATGGTTTTCTTTCAAGTCTTGTATGAAACCGGCCTTATGCATGCAAACAATTCAATAATTGGCGTCACAAATTGATTCGTTAGATGTCTGTCTTACAGCCAAATTGGATAAGAACTGACCATCTGACAACAGACTGTTTTCTATACCATGTAAATAGAAAAAAAAAACATTTATTCACCCTGTAAAAACTTTGTCTGAACTTACCCTTGTTCAATACAAAATTTTAAAAATATTGGTTTAGTACATAAACCTTGATGTGAGATGATAAACGACACTTATTTTTAAATTTTATAAAAATGATATCCAAATACATGCCGTAACTCGTCTTTCTAGCATTTTGTTATGTGAAGGGAACGGCAAACGAGCTGACGGATTACCTGATAGTAAGCAATCAGCGCTGGACACCAGCGATCCTAGAAGAGTTTCGAAAGTTTGATACTGCAAATCCCCCTTGAGCAAGTGTGGTGATTAATGGTCAAACCTCTTCTTTGTGGGAAGTCCCTTTGCTCAGCAATGGGCACATATAGGCTGATGATGTGTGATGTGTCAAATTAATGATAATAATTACCTTTTATTTCCAGGTGCTGGCAACCCTATCGATGCGCTGCAAATTCCTTCAAAAACTAGATTTATCGTGGTGTGGAAGTCATCGCATGATACAGCCCAATTATGTAGTAAAGTGAGTACAATTATCGCCAGTTTATGTCTTCAATTTTCCTATTTAAAAACAAACGAAATTCAACGTCAAGTTGTACTTGAATAATGAGTCTAATTGGAAGAGTTTTAAGGTTGTATTGAGGATAATACGGAAGATTTATTTATAATGAGATTAAAAAAAAAGAACTTTACGGTAATGATAATGCAGTGGCTTGGGCTCGGTTCCTACACGAAACATTTTTTGCGAAATCTACAAATGTTGATGTGATGATAATAATTATGTATGTATACTCGTAGTCTAGTTGTCTTGTATTTTGGAAGCGGGGCGTTACCGAACCAACGCAACTCCACAAAAGAAAATACAAAATAAATATTTAGTAGGGGTTAATATCTTGATTTATTTTTAAGCATTTTATTCAATTAAACCTAGTGAAGTTTATTTTAAACTAATATAAAAACTTTGTTCGCAGTTTCCTCAAAGACAGCGGAGCTGAATTAACACATCTGCGCATGAATTGCTGTAAATTCGTTGACAACTCCGTGCTAAGAGCCATCGTTGACACCTCCACTAGTTTACAAGGTTGGTTTGTTATTATTGTTACCATGGTGATTTATTGTCTCGCTATTTTCCTTGTTGATTTTGACAAGTGTTGCATTCAGTCTTGTCTTGTTTATTTTTTCTACCTATCATATGATCTTAAAGACTCTGCTTCTATTTTTCGACGCCTTTATTTTAAAATAGAAGTCAATTAAATAAAACAGATCCTTCGGAAAGCGAAAAGATGTTTATTTGTAAATTCTGTTTAGTTATGGTTACGCTGTACGCAGTGTATGTATGAGTGGCTACGCAGTGGCTTTGCAACTATCTGCTGTGCAACGTGCCGCAGGTCGATTCCCGCACAAAACAACTTGAGATCCTCAAATAGTGGTTCCGTGTCTTGGTGGCTCGTGTATGTGAAATTGTATGATTGTAACCGTACCCAGTACATAAAACGTATCGTCTAATATGTCCATCCGCGGCCACCTGCGTAGTATGTTGGTAAAAAGCAGCCTGTGTTACGGCCACCTACCTACATAAAATTCAACCAAATCGGTCTAGCTAGTTTTTGCATGAAAGAAAAACAAACATACATTCTCACAAACTTTCACATTTATAATATTAGTAAGATAGAAAATAACCCAAGTATTCAACTATAATTTCCAGAGTTATGCCTCCGATCAGTAGTTGGCTGTTCAGACTGGATATGTCTGTCTGCTTTGAAGAAACTGAAACGACTGGATTTATACAGAACTGATATAACTACGTCTGCTGCGGTAGCCATCATCAGATCCAATCCTGGACTACGTCATCTTAATGTTGGTGAGTTTATTTAAGTTTATTTATTCTTCACTGAACATTTTCATTGGCTATTAGGTCATTTTATTTTTTAATTTACATTTGAAATAATTTATAATTGTATAATAAAAAATACGATACGAGCTGTGAAAACTGTTTCGTACTTAATGGCATCGACCATAGACTAAAAAAAATTATGTTTAAATTTTTTTTTGACTTTTCGAACAAGTGTACGCGTAATACAACCAAAATTATAAAAAAAAAAACGTCTATTACCCACTCCTGAATAATATTAAAGAAAAAGTCACGGTTTGACTATAGGTATCAACATGTGCCTTATTGCCATGGAATTAGAGAAAAATATATATAATAGCTAAAAACGAAACAATCTTACCATTATCAAGACTCGCACATCAAATGTCACTAGGTAAACTTAACCATTAAAATTCCAGGTTCATGCAAAATGATATCGTCGATGGACGAAGTAGCGATAGCATTAGGCGGTAATTGCCCAAACCTAGTGTCGGTGGACTTCTGGAAGTCGTATTCCTTGACTCCTAACGGCATCAGAGCATTGGGCAACTGTAAGAATCTGCAGGAGCTTGACGTCGGGTGGTGGTAAGTGTTGAATTTACTTTTTTGACTTTATTCTTGTGAGTTGGGCTTGTGATTTCTTTAGTAATTTTGAAAAAAAACAACCTCTCAACCTCGTCAACAATGTGATGGCATGGCCCGAAATGACCAAGCAAAAGGCCGATTTAATTAAAAATAACGCTTTAGTTACGTAAATTAACTGAGAAAAGCTCTTCTCGTTTTAAGGCACAACGGAATTTTTATTATTCGAGATAAAAGCGTCAACGACATCGGCTTACGCCCGGTTTCTAAAAGGCCGATCAATGTTAAAATCAGTTTAATCTCTTGTCAAGTCATCTGATTGGTTGGCTGAATTATCAACAACCAATCTGATGACTTGACAAGAGATTTAACAGGAGGTTAGTTAATTTTAGCGTTGACAAGCCTTTCAGAAACCGGGTGTTATAATCTATTATAGTTTTTGAATTGGTTCATGTAAGTAAGTAGTTATTTACAATCAATTAGGACAGTTACACAGTAGCTATCAGTTATTATCAAATACCTATTTCTATGTAACAGCTTACAAGCGGGTGGTTCCGGAGAGTGGCTGAGCTGGTTGTCCGTCGGGGAGCTTCGCAAACTGTTCCTTGGGGCACTTCGTGGAGTTTGCGACCGAGACTTACGCTCCTTGATACCTAGAGCGCCGAAGTTAGCACAGTTGGACCTCTTGGGAGTCAGGGCCGTTACCGCAGATATTTGTGACTCGTAAGTTTTTTTCTTTTTATTAAACCTTTTTACACAAACTTTAGTAAATAGTTTAGATCAGACAGAATCATCAATTAGATCTCCATCTTTGCTAGCCTATTTAGTAGTAGACTCGTAACTATAACTTACTTCGCTACTTTTCTAGTAAACTGAAGTGCTAATATGCTACCCTCCATTACACTAAACATTTTACCTATGTGATATACCGTGGATGCTCATGCTATACATATCTAGCTTTAATAATCATTTTTCTAATTCATGTAATATAAACTAACTTTTAAGCCTTCCAAGGTATTTAAATAACTACTTTTCGCGTTAATACCCGCGTTATTATATGTGGTAATATAATCTAACAGATGGCGCTAGTTGGTTTACAGATTACACTTTTTTATTAATTCCTAGAGATTTTATTGAACAGTGTAATAAATGTTGTTTTATATTTATACAGGATTCTAGCTGAATGCAAAGATCTAAGGCTGCTGGACGTCAGCTTTTGTGATCAAATTCAAGAAGCTCAGGTTAGTTGGTTGTTTTATGTAATCTAGTACAATAATTGGATGTATTTGCTTAAAACATGTACAATTTAGTTAATTTAACCGATTCGAATGTTTCACATCATAACCTGGCACTGCTGATAACTATTTCTCATCTGCGTGCTTGGCGCAGTGGCTGGATAACAAGACACTACGCGTGTCTTATTCCTGCTTAAAATAACTCTCCATATAACTCACAAATTGGTGAGGAAAAATTTGTATGCCTCCAAACACACAAAATAGGGGAAAATTCTAGTGTGGGATACGATGAAATATTAAATGCTGCATGCACTAATTATGTTTTTTTTTATTCTAGGTAATCGAATGGCGCGAACAATATCCCCACGTAAGCATAAAGCGATCCTTCCAATCAGCTAATTTAAACACGGCACCCAACCCACTTTTCTTAGCTCCTAGTTTAGAATAATTTTAGCTTAAGAAATTTTAATCAAAGTTCATTCACGTGAAGCTATTTATTACATAAAATGGTAAAATTGTCCATTTTTAGTTTTTGTGAAAAAAATGTTTTATAAGAATGGCTAGACTGGAAAGTCCTCTTAAGGTATGATTTTGTTAAACCTTTAATCTGGTTAATCTGTAGCTACGAATATCAAGAAGTGTTATCAAACCTGAAGTAGACCTTTATTGGTATGTAGGTGTGCGTTTTGCTGTGTGAGTGTACATAACTCACTCACATACACCAAAGGCCTTATCCCAAAAGACCGGGTGTTCATTGACAACACGCGTTGTGTAGTTTCCGTTTTAGAAGTTATGCTATAAATAATGTAATTTCGCTTTTCAATGCAATAAAACATATATTTAGTCATTTTATTCATCCATTCCACATTATACTCACACGGGTACAATTTACCGCCCACCTTGTATTTCTTTCTTTTATAAAAAAGTATAGGTTTCTGGCATTTCATTTCATAAAAGTATGTAAGAAATTTGACCAGTTGGAAACTACCCGATTGCTTATCATAATGCTATCCTTCTTGGCAACCCTGTCTTGTATCAAGATATCAGGAGACTCATTGTCGATACATGGCTGTTATTTGTAATTTGTCAATTAGTGTGGTATAACGTTATTTGTCAATTAAAGAAGTTCTATTTAAAACAAAACACTGCTTCATGTGAATGAACTTTAAAAATGACTTATAAAATACATTTGTATTGTACTCTTTACTTGTGATTGTTTGTATGTTAGCATATTTGAAATTGCTTATGTATATGTATGTGCCACTATAGCTATATTACATAGTTAATTTTTTGTTCGTAATTATTATCTTTGTATAAGTACTTGCTTTGTATAGTAGTTGAATATTGATCTCAATTGGTAAAAGTCACTGAGCTTAATAACAATATGGAATTCGCGCGTTAAATGCGTAATAATGATAATAAAATGAATTTATCGAATGATAATTGCAATCTAATTGACTGTGAATTTTGTACACAAATTATCGCGTTTCCAGGCTGATAATAAAATAGTAAGACAAATATTTCACAATATTTTTCGAAACTATATCTATTGTACTACTGATATATTATACGTATCAAATATCTTATAATCTGATCCTCCGCCTTGATTCAGTGGTGATATACAGATTAATATCATTATCATAAACTGACTTAGATCTATTAATTTGGCTTTAAACATTCTAATTATATAAAAAGACTGACTAAATTGTAAAAAAAACAGCTGATATTAATGTAAATGCATTTTTATGTATGTAAAATTTTCTAAGACAAAGGAATGACTTGAGACTTATAGTGCAGCTTCGGTTCAATAACCTCTAAACAATATATTGCTCTTACTTTTAAATACCTTAAAAATATAATACGTTTTGTATCCATTATAATATTTTTAATCGTACAGATTACATATATGTACACAACACGTAAAAATATAAAGATGAATTCTTACACTACTATATTATTATGTTTTTATATAGTTGTATGAAGCCTTAACTTAGCTAACCATTGATCGGCTCAGAAGCCAAAAATTGTTCCTGTTTGTGTACTAAATCAATCTTTATATAAGTACCTGCATATCAAACAGCTTTTGCTTACTGAACATACAAAAATATATGGCAATAAGCTCACAAAAACTACTGGTGAAAAATGTGTTTACATTTTGAATATTCAGTCGCAACTCTACTTAGATCTTTGGGTATTAAATAGTGTTGTGGTATGGGTGTCATACAATATGGCTTGATCATCTAATGACTCAGAATGATAATATGTAATCGCTTGGGTATGTTAACACTTACGATGGTGAACAGATAAAGAATTTAATGTTTTTTAGTATCGCCTAGTGAGTACTAGGATAGCTTTCATTAATTGCAGCTAGATATATGATGATATATGATAATATATGTACATGTATTATTTGTCCAAACGCTGGTTTTTGGGACACATTGTAATTTTGATAAGTCTCATCACATAAGAAATTACCATAGGAGCAACAAAGCTCATATTCGTCTGTGACAACTTGGTGGCTGACTGACTCAAAAATATTTTATTTTTATTTTTAAATGTAATAAATAATTAAGAAATAAGTTATCACACTTTTTTTTGATTGGTTAAAACGATAAACTGCTGTGCTACTAACATTCGTTATTTTCCAAAAAACCTAATCTAAACCTTTTTTGTGGGGGAAAAATACGGAAGAAACTCCATGCCCTGGGCGAGGGAAGTCACTTAAAAAAGTTAGGTATACTTATGGCTGATTTTTCAAAGGTAAGATAAAGAGTATCTGGGGAATAATTATGATGCTGCCGCGTCAGAATGTTTGTTAAAAACAGTGACAACAACAATTTTATTCCTTAGATAACATTTATCTGGCTATTGAAAAATCAGCCCTAACTGACTAAAAACTCTAGGCCGATGTCGCGTTACCTTATTGCGCTCGGCCCGCAACCCCTTTTACTAACCTAAATCTATAGTCTATTTTGACAATATCAATAAAGTTTTGACCAGTAGTAATATTTAATGGACACCAAATTGTGATGAATTGTTGATTGAAATACAGTATGATAAAACAAGGTGAATCGAATTTGAGGGGTAGATAGATACACTAAAGGGGCTAATAGATGTTGGCCAATTTTTCTAGTATCATATTCACCCCTCTTCTACGTCTATTCACCCCGTTTTAACGTTACAACTAAGTACTGTATTATGCGACGATAGAATGGATGGATAATTAATTATTGAGACCTTTGAATCTGAATAAGTCATTAATATGTTGTATTAATAAAAAAAATAGTGGTCTACCTCACCTATCATTCTGGTAGCAACTTGGTTTTCATGACAATCCCTATACCCTTCCACACACAATCCTATATAAGAAATTCAGACATACAATCGATTTGTTAAAGGCTAACTGATTGATAAAACGGTTATTCTAACCAGCTATCTGTGTTATAAATTAAACACGTAAACTTTTTGTGAAAATGTCATCAAAGTTATTTGTTATTCGAAAATGATAAAAAAATATATCTACTCTATTATTATTAAAAACAACATAAGTAATTGTTTTGTTAGTCATCTAATTGAACAAAAATTGGCGCCTAATTTATGTTGTTTTAGTATGTGTCATAGATAAGGGAAACCTACAAGAACCGATCGGACTCCTTAAAAGGCCGTCAACGTGCCTGTGACTCCTCTGGGCTTGCAGGTGTCTATGGGCAGCACCGATCGCTCACCATCAGGTGATCCGTCTCGTTTGCGTCCTATTCCATAAAAAAGATAAATTTATTGTTTAGGTAAGCTAACGTTGTACCTATAGTTGCACTTTGTAAACAGTATCCTGGAAATATTGTTATGATTATTTGTAACCTATATGTATAATCATTATGATATTGTTTAGCGACACGTGCTAAGAAGTAAGTTTTAGTATGGACGAAGGATAACGACGATTTAGATTTTGATCTTTAATACTATTTGGACTAAGATTATAATATTTGATACTGTTTATTTAATTTAGGTACGCTGGAAAATTAGAAATCTTCTAAGTTTTTCACACCTCAATAGCCAAATAGTGTCCGCGGTGTCAAAATGATGCCTAAAATACAGCTCGTGAATCCACGTGATAGGATTTCTCCGATAGGAAATAGCATAAAAAGAAGTAAGAAACAAATTAAGTTCAAGATAAAATTTATATTTACATTATAAAACTCGAATATTGTCCGATGTTCGGTTTCGTTCCGTTTTGCATGTTATTTAGAACTCTTGATTATTCATATCTTCTTAGGGGCAAAAAGTAATTCTTTCATTTAATTTGCTCACATCTGTCTTCTGTAAGAACATAAAAGACTTTAAAATGATGAAAATAAATTAACGAGAAAATACATTTTATAATGTTTTTTAAATAGTGAATTGGAGTGTCCACCTGGGACAGCCCGTATTCAATAAAAATATAATATAGCTTATAAAAATATTAAAAAAGTCATGATTCTTAATGTGATACGACAGCAAACGACCAGATGTACCTATTATTTTTAATTTTTTTGTGGGAAACCTTTCCTACTCTCTAAAAACCACCTAGATTCTTCTCCTGCTCCAGGCCGACGCCGCGGTACCTTATTGCTTTTAACTTGAACCCCAGCTGAGACTCATTACTTGAAGGTAAGCAATGTCGCCTATAGACACCCCCATAACACCAGAGTAGTTGCAAGTGCGTTGCTGGCCTTTTGGGGATGAAAGGTTTTGGGTACAGAAAGACATATTTTATCTATAATATAAAAATGAACCGCGAAATGTGGTGGTAAGCGCATAACTTAATAACGCCTGGATCAGTTTTGCCAATTCTTTTTTGTAATTTTCGTTATTGTTAGGAGTACCTAGGTTCTTACGTAAGAAAACTTTTTGAAAAGCAAAGGGTAATAGCGGGTATCAGCAACCCTTTCGGAGCCGTGGAAGTTCGTTTGCAAAACAAATGACTGACACCGGGGCAGTCGGATACCCGTGCGAAGCAGCGGCGGCCTGCTAGTTTACAATAATATTTTGTTTAACTAGCGACCCGCCCCGGCATCCCACCGGTACAAAGCTGATACTAAATTTCGTTACTATTTAAGGAATGTTATTATACATATAAATCTTCCTCTTTAATCATCTTTTAAAAAAGACCGTATTAATAAACGTTGCGTAGTTTTTAAGATTTAAGCATACATAGGGATAAAGGGACAGAGAAAGCGTAGCTTTGTTTTATACTTTCCATCTTTTGTAGATACACTAAGCTTATCCCTAAAGGGTCCACCCAAAAAACGGTTATATTCAAAGAACGTAACGTAGTATACTACTGCTAACGAAGCTTAGTAATAGTCACATATACACCATACTCGCTATGTATGTAGTGATAGGTACGGAGTGTTTACTAACATAGAAAGCAAGAAACGTTTTCTGCATGATTTGCATGAAATGTGGATAAAATAGAGTGTTACAGATATCATTTCAGTGCAGCACA